ACTTAATTCATTTGAGAGAAAGAGCATGAGGAGGGGAGAAGGGCAGAGGGAGAAGCGGGCTCCCCACTGAGCTGGGAGCCTGACGTGGGACTCCATTCCAGGACTCTAGCTGAAGGCAGATGCTTAACCAACTGAGGCGCCCCTAAGTGGTTTATTTTTTTTTTTTTAAGATTTGTTTATTTGAAAGTGTGAGCAGGGGGAGTGGCAGAGGGAGAATCTCAAGCAGACCCCCCCACTGAGTGCAGAGCACAACTCTGGGGCTCAATCTCAGGACCCTGAGATCATGACCTGAGCTAAAGCCAAGAATTGGCCTCTTAACTGACTGAGCCACTCAGGTGCCGCTGAATTGTGTACTTTAAATGAATGAATTTTATGGTCTGGGAATTAAATCTCAATAAAACTGGGGTGTTTTTTTTTTGTTTGTTTTTTCAAAGATTTTATTTATTTATTCACGAGAGAGGCAGAGACACAGGCAGAGGGAGAAGGAGGCTCCATGCAGGGAGGGGAGCCCGACATGAGACTCGATCCTGGGTCTCCAGGATCACGCCCTGGGCCAAAGGCAGGCGCTAAACCACTGAGCCCCCCAGGCTGCCCCTAAAACTATTTGTTTTTTTTTTTTTAATTATTTATTTATTCGTGAGAGACACAAAAAGAGGCAGAGACCACATGGAGAAGCAGGCTCCATGCAGGAAGAAGCCTGATGTGGGACCTGATCCCAGGACTCCATGATCACGCCCTGAACCAAAGGCAGGCACTCAACCACTGAGCCACCCAGGCCTCCCTAATAGAACGCAAAATAATGCCCTTTCCCTCCTGTCCTGCCCTCTTCATGCCCAGCATGGAGAGATGCTTGAGCCATCCAGTGACCTATGAGTAGTCAGGGGTGAGGGTCCTCAGGTCTGCCATCTGCACAGGGTCTATCACGTGGGCTCTTACTGTACTCTCTAATGGTATCTATCCCCAAGGGGGGGTGTCCTCAATAGCTCTGAAGCAGGGACCATACTTTGTAAGTCATTTGTATTACCAAGGATGCCTTCTGTCCCTGAAATTATTTCTGGAGTTAATTTGGGCAGGGGATGGATTGTTGCATTGCTGTTCTCACACATTCACTTTTCTAAATGAACTTCAGAATGAGATTATCACAGCCCCAACCCTCCACCCAACTTTGACCAGTAAGAAACTCTGATGGGAGGCTATCCAAGTTCTACTAAATATATTTTTGGGGAAACTTGGCCTCTCTATAATACCTAGTCTTCCTGCCTGGGATCATGGTATGGTATGTTTATTTATTCAGGTCTTATTTTATGTCCTCCAGTCAAATTCTATAGTTTTACCTTTCCTGTGAAACTGATGACTAGTTATGAATGAGGCCATTTTCCTTTTCAGTTTTGAAATGACTTGGTGAGGAGAGAAAGAAGTAATTGATGTTTGTGTGTCTAGATGTGTATATCTCACATTCTGACACCTTATTGAGTCATCTTTGTAGTACTCTAGTCTTTCTTTTTCTTTCCTGATCTTTCTTTTCCAGAGTTTTCTTCCTCCACCTGCTTTTCAGGGCATTTCTACCTAGAAATCCCAAGAGTGTCTAAAAAGCTCAGAATGAAACTGAAATTAAATAAGTAAGTCACAGTTAAAATAATCTCTCCATGCTTTTAGGTTCAGAATCACATGCTGCCAGCCCTTGAAGCACCTTTGTGTGAACCAAGAGAACATACCCCTTTCTCCTGACACTTGACTCATCTCCTGGAAAAATCGCTGCAATTAACTGATTTAGTTGGAATAGGACACATGCCTGCAGGAACATGGCATGATAAATCTGTGGGTCTCAAGCATGTCCTGCATTCAGGCTCTCTTAGGCAAGGTATGCTTGGGCAGTCTCAGCACGCAAGCATTCTTGTAGCGCTGCTTAGATCTATAGATTTTACTGTCGCTGCCTCAGTTTACCTCTCATTATATGTCCCCTCTCATCACAGTATAACTTCCGCCCCTCTAACAAGAGGACAAAAACAAAGTACAACCTGGTCTTTCTCTTCCAAGCCTCTCTCTTCTCAAACACTTTATACACAGCCCACAATAACATTCCTAAAGCATTGGAAACCCCTACCCAAAGGCTTTTGCTGGTTCCTTGTTTTGCTCAGAGTCAGAATTGCTTCATTCCCTGCAGGGGGCTTCCCAACCTTCCTCAGCAGCTACTTTGGCAGCTACTTTTCATTTTCGCCCTCACCCCTTCTGTGGTCTTCCCAGCACACTCTGGTGCCTTGGTAACTCCTATTGCCCCTCAGTCTCCACTTGCTCGTCTGTAAAGGGAGAAGAGCAATGCCTTCTCAATAGTTATACAGTAAAAAATAAATGATAGAGCATGCGAACATGACCAGCACAGGGCCTGACACTTAGCACATCTATTTCCTTTCCCCTTCCTTCCTCTGAACTCCCTCACAAGGACTTTGGAAACTGAAATGCTGTACAATTATAACATATTGTTAGGATTATTTATGCCTCATTGTATGTCCATTACCCAAAGTGCTAATATTTGGGCAAGAAATCTTCATATTTGATCTCTAATGAAGGACATTTGAAAATATTCCAGAAGAGGTACACCTGGGTAGCTGAGTCAGTTAAGCATGCAACTCTCAGTTTTGGCTCAGGTCATGATCTCAGGGTTGTGAGATGGAGCCTGAGTCAGGTTCTGTGCTGGGCAGAGAGCCTGCTTAAGGTTCCTTCTTTCCCTCTCCCTCTGCTCCTGCCCCATCGTTTCAATCTCTCTCTCAAAAAAAAAAAAAAAAAAAAAAGAATCCGGAAGACAAAAATAAGCATAACTTTGTAGCCTTGATGTGCCACCTAAAACAGTTGCCACAGAAGGGTTTCTGGCTGTCCCAGGAAGCCCCTGGAAGGATAAGGGTGGCAGTCTGCCCACAGCTGAGGCACATGAGAAAGGGAGGTGGCAGCTGCCCCAAGGAAACACAGGTTCTGTCTGCAAGAGATGAAGGGTGTTTGGAGGGTGTGCTCAGGAGACAAGCTGAGAACAAACGCAGTCCTTCCCTGGTGGGGATTTCCTCCACCCCACTACTGTTGCCTTAAGAAAACAGGGAAAAAGCACTTGCTGTCGACTACAGCAAATGTGTTGTGGTTAAGAGTCAGTTTCCAAGTGCGTTTATTGGTTCAGCGAATTGACTTCATCTCAGCCACATCTGGTGGTCTGTGTGTCATTTATTCTAGGCCTTCTCCTGACTTGATTTCCATTGGGCTTTAATCAGAAAACATTTGTGAAAATTTTGGATCCAAATTAGAGTTTATCATAAGCACATATCTCAGAGAACACAGATGAAACCCAGAGTGGAACAGAAAGCAAACAAGAAATAATGCAATAACATTAGAAACAGAATAGTGTCAGAAGGAAGGAACACAGGGAAACTGAGAAGGGCTGTCTGGAGAGGACGAGCCAACCCTTCCTTCAGCAGAGGACCAGCCAGAGAACAAAGACGGAGGCAACTAGCACTCACATCAAGGACTGATGAGCCGTTCTTCCCTTGCTCACCAACCCTTAGTCCTTGGGAGTAGACACCATGGTCAGTAGGCCCTACCCACACCTGAGCTGGGACAGAGTACTGTCTTTTTTTTTTTTTTTTTTTAAGATTTATTTGAGAGAGAGCAGAATAGGCTTGCGGGGGGCAGGAGCAGAGAAAGAATCTCAAGCAGACTCCGCACTGAACACAGAGCCCATCCAGGCCTGATCCCACGGCCCTGAGATCATGACCTGAGCTGAAACCAAGAGTCAACATGCTTAACCGACTGAGCCACCCAGGTGCCCCATGGAGCACTGTCTTAATGGGCACATGCAATTCACTTTACACCAGAGATGGGCCTGTGAGAAGTCCTGTTTCCTCTCCATCCTTTCTCTCTGCCCTCTTTTCTCATTCTTTCCCAGAGTCATCCTGGCCTCCACTTTAAGAAAACACACATTGGGGCTCATCACTGATGGTGGGACCACCCTTTCTACCTGCCTCGCCTTTATGTGCTATAGACTTTCAGACATGTGGGTCACTGGTTAGAAAACAGTGGGAGATGGGCAGCTCCGGTGGCGCAGCGGTTTGGCACCACCTGCAGCCTGGGGTGTGATCCTGGAGACCCGGGATCGAGTCCCACATCGGGCTCCCTGCATGGAGCCTGCTTCTCCCTCACCCTCTGCCTGTGTTTTTGCCTCTCTCTCTCTCTGTTTCTATGAATAAATAAATAAAATCTTAAAAAAAAAAAAAAAAACAGTGGGAGAGCTGTATCTCCAGCCACATGTCACTGAGTATCTTCTCCAACTGGCTGACATTGTTGATTGGACTTAGGAGATACATGTACATATTAAAAAATATTTTTGACAAAATGTAGAATATACAGAAGAACATACCTCTTCCACCCACTCCCATCCCTTATGTCCTCTACTCCCTCTTCAGAGGCTACTTTAAAAAAAAAAAAAAAGATTTTATTTATTTGAGAGAGAGAGAGAGAGCACAAGCAGAGGTAGTGGCAGGCAGATGGAGAGAGAGAAGGCGACTCTCCGCAGAGCTGGGAGCCTGATGTTGGGGCTCAATCCCAGGACCCTGGGATCATTACCTGAGCCAAAGGCATACGCTCAACCAACAGAGCCACTCAGGTGCCCTGAGGCTACTTATTTCATATGTACCTTTTCAGAGGTGATTCAGTGCTCATCATTGTTAGCTTTTAAAAATTCAGGATGCCTGTGTGGCTCAGCGGTTTAGCGCCTGCCTTCGGCCCAGGGTGTGATCCTGGAGACCCAGGATCGAGTCCCGCGTCAGGCTCCCTGCATGGAGCCTGCTTCTCCCTCTCTGCCTGTGTCTCTGCCTCTCTCCCTGAGTCTCTCATTAATAAAATAAATCTAAAAATATTTTTAAAAAATTTTCATCTTTCCTTTTTTACTTAAATTGCTGAGGCTGAAGATTTACCTGCTGTGTTCTTCCTGTATCTGGCTTCTCCATATCCCTTCCTCTTAGACTTTGACCCTTGGTGGACAAACAGCTGTGAGCAGAATGAGTCCAACCCCATCCCTGCCAACTGCACTGGCTGTGCCCAGAAATTACCCCTCAAGGTAATGCTCCTGGAAGATACCCCGAAGAAATTTGAGAGATTCCATCCTCTGGTGATCAAGGTGAGCAAGAAGCCTGATTGTCCACTGATCTGTTTAATGGAGCACCTGGGTGGCTCAGTGATTGAGCGTCTGCTTTCGGCTCAGGGTGTGATCCCTGGGTCCTGGGATCGAGTTGCTCATTGGGCTCCCCACAGGGAGCCTGCTTTTCCCTCTCCCTGTGTCTCTGCCTCTCTCTCTCTGTGTCTCTCATGAATAAATAAAGTCTTAAAAAAAAGATTATCTGTTTAAAATGGCTAGAAAGCATCAAGCTCTGACATTGCTGAGAAGTAATCCTGTGTTGGTTTTTTTTCTTGCTTTTGTTTTCTGCCTTGCCAAGACGGGACAGCTCTTGTTATCAGAGGAGCTTCAGCATTTTCTGTGCTGGTATCCTGAAGTAACAGAAGGCTTCACTGAAGGGTTTTTCACCAAGTGGTGGCGCTGCTTTCCTGAACGGTGGTTCCCATTTCCTTATCCGTGGTGAGTGTGGAAAAGGGCACTTAGCCAACATGTGGTAGAAAGGGGGCAGACCAGACATCAAAACAGTACTAGCCACCACTGAGAGCTCCCATGCCTTGTGCCAGGTAAGCACTCTCCAGTACACTCTTCAAGTCAAATGATACTCAGGAGCTCACTGTTGAAAACTCATCAATGAGGAATAAAGAGGATGAATCAAAAGAGGTGTCTCCAGAAGGCTGTCACCATGAGTGAATATTGAGCTTGCCTAATACAATTTTTTTCTGAGTACATGTTTAGCAATTGTTTGTACAGAATGCTCCTGAGTTTTGAGGGCTAATGAGAAAGCATGAATAATAGAAGGGAAACTTCATTTCCTGGCACTTGTTTGCCAGGCTGTGTGCCTTAGTCGTTAGTGTCTGTTCCTCACTAATGATGCTCATAATAGCTCCAGGAAGTAGGAATTATCATTGTCATTTTTCAGATCAGTTAAGTACCTTGCTTAAGGTTACCCAGCCAGGATTAAAATCCAGGTCTGTCTCCTTCTTCCTTTCTGTGTCCAGTAGAAGACATGGTTGGGGCACCTGGGTGACTCAGTTAAGCGTCCGACTCTTGATTTCAGCTCAGGTCATGATCTCAGAGTTTTGAGACTGAGCCTCCCATCAGGCTCCCTGCTCAGTGAAGAGTTCACTTCTTTCCCTCTGCCCCTCCCCTGCTTGTGCTCACTCTCTAAAAAAATAAAATAAAATCTAAAAAAAAGAAAGAAAACCTAGTCCATTTCTTAGGGTGAAAGTTGCTCTCTAGAAAAAAGAGGAAAGCCAGTTTCCATCTAGAACCTTTCCAAGAGAGAATTAAAATTGGATTTTTTTGACTTCTTGTTAGCTAATTTCTCAGTGCTTGTCTTTTTAAAAATTTGCCATTTATATGCATGATCGAATACTCTAGTTAAGCTAGTCAGGCGTCCCACTGCATGCCATACCACCTTAGAAGAAAGTTCATGATTTTTGTCTTCCTTCTACTCCCCCCTCCTGTTCTCCCGCCTGGTCTACTATAGTTTACTTCAGTCTCTTTTCCAAGATGAAATGAATGGACCGTTTCTTTCCTTCCTCTATATGTTGTTTTAGCTGGATTTTATAAACACCCCACCCACACGTACAAATTAGGGCTGTGGAGTTATGTGTGTATGTGTGCGTGTCACAATTAATTGATTTGGCATGACTGTTCTTCACGAACCTAATACTTGAGATATTGTCCTGATATTTTTCCCTGTTTACCTACCACCCACAGTTTTCCCACCCTTGCTTAGCTCTCTGTTAGTCATGGAGATAGAGGCTGGCTCGCCCAGCTGAATTACTTTTGTCTCTTTCAAACTTTTACAGGAGAAGACCTCTAAACAGATCACACATTTTACGCGAGCTTTTTCCTGTTTTCACCTACCTGCCATTTCCAAAAGATGCCTCCTTAAAAAAGTGCTTCCTTCTTCAACCGGAACCTATTGTGGGTAGTAAGGTAGGACATTTTGAGAGGACTTGGGTCTAGAATTTTCCTCTTTTGGCACCTGGTCTGATGTCATAATCCCTCCCTTCCTTGCATGTCAACCCAGAGGGTGAATTAAAGGGACACCCACATAATCTAAAGTTCTCTCCCCTGCAGTGGCCCACCCTTTTATGAAGGCATGCTTACCGAAAGTCTGGTTACCTTACAAATCTGTTTCCTGCCCTTGACACCTGAGATCAAGCTGCTTTTCTACATTAGGAAGTAAAATCCTGAAATTTGAAGGGACCCAAGCTGTAGCTAGTCTGAGTTCCCTACGTCAAAGGAGAAAGCAGGCAAGCTGGAAATGAGTAGCCCAACTTACTCATTTTGTGGATAAGGACACTGAGCCCCAGAGAAAGTAAATGATTTGCCCAAGGACACAGCAAGTTAACAGGAAGGCTCTACCCCGCCCCCATCCCCAGGTTCACTTTCCCCAGAAATAAATGAGAAACCTCAAGTGGAGAACTGGGAAAAGCAAAAAGCTTGAGAGGTTTGGGGATAAAAGGGTTGACAGGATATGCCCAAGGCAGGCCAACCAGTTTGGGTAGCAACACTTCTTACTTAAGTCCATGGCCAAGTACCCAGAGCCCACATTTACCTCTCTGGGGCCGGTGGACTGGGTAAAGTTGTTCTATGTTGTGTCTGTTTACTTTTCTCTGAATTGCTCTCTTGTTAAATCTCATTCCCAAGGAAGGTTTTTGAATTTAGGTTGGTTTGGAAGAATTAAAAGGATGAAATTTCCCAAACTGTGACCCTTACCAACTCCGGGTTGTGTTTTCACCCTCCCAATACTATTCTTTGGCTCCAAACTTGCTGAATCGTATTAAAGGAATTTCAAAGCCTATAAAAACAATCATTTTGTCTAGAAGTAAGAACTTCTGTCTGCCAGCAGTAGGGTGGAGGTGTTGGGCTCTTGCCTCAGATTTTAGAGAAGTTTATTCTGCTGTCCCCGTCTAGAACTCAGGGCTCTAGTATGATTTCATCTTCACAATTATGATATAATTCTGGGCGAGAGCTTTAATCTTTATCTTGATTTTCCCACTTGAATCTGAAGTTAATTTCACCAGTCTGCTTAATAGGGACACCAAGAATCTCAGCCAAAAGGGTAAATACTAAGTTACTCAGATGTCTATCAGAGTCATCTTGTGGTACTCAAGCATGTTTTCGGAAGGGGAGTGGTCCAAATAGGCAAAAATCCTGAGAGTCTTGTTTCTTAGAGCATCTGCTCCCCGCCTTGGCCCAGGCTCTCCTTTCTCTACAGCCTTGTTACTCCACCCTGTTGTCCATATCCCTGAGCTCTCCACCCCGGTAAAGTCATATGTCTGTGGGCCTCGGATCCCAGAGGCAACCTTGGGATAGAAGACAAGAAGTGGGGATCCAATCATAAGAGGTGAGGGGCTCCAAGGCCCACTTCACCCAGTTCACAGTGTTGCCTGGGGTTGGCCTGCTCCATCCTGTTATTTGGTTCTTCCCATCCTGGGTGTAGAGGCACAGGGTCCTTCCCCCTCTCGGGCCTGTATGAAGAACTGCATTTATTTGGTTTTGGTCTCCTGGGATTTCCTTAAGACTGTAGGGCCTCTGCCCATCAATTGCAAGCCACTAGCCTGCCTTAGTCCTCCTGCTGTCACCACAGTGGCAGTTGAATGGCTCTGGTGTTGCCACGGAAACGGAGTCCTGGCCAGGGCCTGCAGGAGCAAGAAAAATGGGGTTTGGGGACAGGAGAAGATGGGGCCAAAAACAAGGCTCTGGAAGGCCTCAGTACTAAACCGGGATGTGGCCCGGGGAGTCAGACTTCAGACCCTTTCATTATATGGACATAGAAAGGCTCTTCCTGGAGGGCCTAGGGAGGGGAAGCCCTGGAGGTTTTCTCTCACTATCTAGGTAGGAAGAAATGCCTGAGCAAGACCAGCCTAGCCTCTCTCTGTTTGTTTGTTTGTTTGTTTGTTTGTTTGTTTGTTTGTTTGTTTTTAGCCTCTCCCTTTGTTCCTGCTCCCTGTCCACTGGCATCAGGTTTTGCAGCCGTACTAGCCACACATTAAGTGCAGGTTGCACTTAATGCCCAATGGTGGTGGTAGTCTGCCCTCATAAGTGCAGTAGGTAACCTGTGCAGGTGCACAGGCTGGTTGCCTCCTTAATACTCAAAATCTAAGCCCAGTCTTACCGTCATTAGTTTTTAATCAGCAATATGATATCTCTGTTCACCTATGTCTTGCCAGAAAGTGTGAACCTGAACTTCCTGCTGTTTGATTCTCATCAAAACCCTGGCAATAAGAAGTAATATTCCATGGAACATTGCCCAAAGATATGCAGACTCTGAAAAGTCTGGATCCAACCAGACCCTCAGAAGATTGTGTACTTAGACCACTATGTGTTGGCCTCTCCTAGACTTCTGTTAAATTGTACCTAGATAATTTGCCTTTGACCTACTTTGGAGCTGTGGCTAGAAATAGCCATGAATTATGAAGCTCATGCTAGATCTGTATTAGGGCTGGTGTTGAAGATGTCTCCCACTAAATCACAGTGTTTCTTTAGGAGAACACACAGAAGGGATTTTAACCCGGTCTCAGTACTAGGAGATGCCAGGCTTAGGAGAAACTTTGTTTTTGTCATTCCGGCATAATTGTGAATTGTGTCATTGGTTCTGTTTTCCTTTTTGCTTAGGCTGCTAGAAAAGTCAGAAACATATATATAATTTTGTATGTTACTCTCCCATGCCACTGAGTTTTATTTTGTTTCCTTTTCCTTCTCCCTTTTTTTTCCTCCAGATGCATAGGATGCATGACCTGTTTATCATTGGCAGTGGTGAGGCCATGTTGCAGTTCATCCCTCCTGTCCAGTGCCGAAGACATTGCCAGTCTGTGGCGATGCCACTAGAGCCAGGGGATATTGGTAGGTGGGGCCCCCAGAGGGCAAGGTCAGTCACAAGATCTTTGTAGTTTTTAACTCAAAAAATATTGTGAAAATTAAATGTGGTCTTCACAAAGTTTCAATTAAGTAGAGTCAAAACTAGCATTCTTTTACGGATACAGTTAATATTTATGCTTAAATAGAACAATATTTATGCTAAGGAGGAACGTAGCACAGAGAAATGCCTTGTATTTACATTTAGAATGGATGATATGTCCATCGATCTTAGAAATTTCAAGTTAGAAGGCATTATGGAAAATACTTATAGCAGTCCTTTATTTTACAGATGAGGAAATTGAGACCCAGACCATCTCAAGTTCCCACCATCAGCTAGGCAAAGCTTTAAGTGTCTCCTTCAACAGAGTCAGGCCAGGGGAGGTACAATTCTAGATTCCAGGAAACCCTTTCTGTGCCTATTTTGCTAATAAGACAATGCAAGCAGTATGCAAGGGCAACAGCCCATGGGGAAATAATACCTTCTGTGTGGGTCTCACAGCCAAGGCCCAGCCTCACAGTCATGACTCACCCTTGGCTCTGTGATTTCCCAACTGTGGCCTGTTCTGTGCATTATATTCTAACAACCTAGTCCAAAGAAACAGACTTGAATCAACTGCTGTCCATAGCAATCAGTCTGACAGTAAAGTTTTCTTGGCAGAAGCAAATACCAAGTGTCACCTCTGTGTTTCTTCCTTAAGAAGCCCAGGGGAAGCCTAATGCCCCCAATAGACCCCAGGCTGGTTTTCCCAACTGATTTCTTTTAATTTTACCTTTTAGAAGACCCCAGTCTCTGGAAACCTTTTTCCTCATTTGGGAATAGGGTACAGACTACAGACTGTGACTAGCTTTAATCCATGTTACATAATGTATTTCAATTTAGAAATGAAAATAATGCACAAATTAAGCATTAACTGATAATGGAGCACAGCTGGCCTGGCCCTTGGGAATTACTGCAAAAAGGAGGATTTTTGTGTAGAAATTGTTCTGAAGCTGTTTTCCTGTAGTGAAGTGACCCTGCCACGAGGCCTGACTATTACACAAGTTGAGTGGCATTTCGGGTTGAGAATGTGTAGTTATGCTTGAAAAAGTTTCTGTCTTATGTTCTACAAATGTCTGAGAGTTCAGACAACTACAGAAACACCTCAGTTATCCAAATTTTAGGTTTCTGGATCCCACAAACTTCTAGAATGCCAATTATAGAATTAAGGGGAATAAATGGATGACTGGCAGTGATCAAAGAAGCTTTGAGCATCAAAGTCTGGTGGGAATAGTGCAGAAAAACTTCAGATCCCGAGCATGATAGCCTATAGTGCTGTCACTGGCCAGTTTGCAGACCAGGAGAGGAGCTCTGTGGGCGGCAGTGTCCGTGAATAGCCAGCCACAGGCCAGGGACATAGAGAAGGGATGGGGGAGCTGACTAGAACAGTAGGAAGAAAGCAGGTCTGAGAGAAGAGCTGGGTAGGGGGTGATAGGGAAGATAGTGGGTTTCTAAAGCAGTGGCAGTAATAGAAGCCATGGCTGTGGCTGCTGCAGTTAAAAACAAGGACAAGAGGGACTCCTGGGGGGCTCAGTTGATTAAGCTTCTGCCTTCAGGTAAGGTCATGATCTCAGGGTCCTGGGATCGAGCCCTGCATCAGGCTTGGTCAGCAATTGGGGAGTCTGCTTCTCCCTCTGTGTCTGCCCCTCCTGCTGCTTGTGCACGCATACACACACACTCTCTCTCTCAAATAAATAAATAAAAATAAAGCCTTTAAAAATAAATAAACACATAAATAAAAGAGACGAGGACAGGAAAACAGACCCTGACAGCGAAGGGGAGTAATTCAATGCTGTTTATAGGACAGATGGCAGCTCTAGCACTCCAGGGATCCTTAAGAATGGCACTGTGACAAGCGGGCTCTGTGGTTTGTTTTTTGTTTTTGTTTTTAGATTTTATGTATCTATTCATGAGACACACAGAGAGGCATAGACACAGGCAGAGGGAGAAGCAGGCTCCATGCAGGAAGCCCGATATGGGACTTGATCTGGGGACTCTGGGATCATTCCCTGAGCCAAAGGCAGACACTCAACTGCTGAGCCACCCAGGTGTCCTGGACGCTGTGGTTTTTGACAAAGTAAGCATTGTTTTTTGAAGGAAGAGGACAGGGACACTGATCACCAGGAAACCTGTGATGAGAGGCATTTTCAAGAATGATGTAGGGGTAAGCCCACTCTGGTGCCATGATTGACGAGTCACTGCTCATAGTGACCTTTCTTGAGTCACCAAATAGAGCTTAAGTTCTATTCAGTGCTCTCAGTTTAAAGATAGGTAAGGTACACCATACTCTAGAAGATTTTCCATTGAGAGATTATTGAAGCATTCAAGTTTTTTTTTTAAGTGTTCAAGTTTTTAAAGCTTTTAAGTTTACACCACTCATCATAATATAGGTCAATGTTTCCTAAACAGTTCGTCAGATCACTGATGACCCTGGGATTGGGAACAGGAACCCCTTAGAAAGGCCCTTGGCAAGTGTAAGGCTCTTGAGTCAGTGGATTCTGGGAACTATCTTTTTTTTTTTTCTTTGTCTGTTTGTTTTGTCTGTCTTGTCAATACATAGTGCACATTAGTAAACAAAAGGCTCCAGAAGCCTTGGAGGAACCTAATGTTTCTTAAACCTACTTGACAGTGGAACCCATTTTCCTTAGACTATGTTACAGGATGCTGTTTGCAGAACACAAGTTAGGAAATGCTGGTTTGAGCTAATCTGGATGTTCTATAATGGGATGGTGTTACAGATTACATTAGGAGAATTGGATGGTGAAGGGGGGTGTTGTGCTCCCCCTTCAGAATTCGTCCTGTCTTCCTTGCTGATAAAGATGAGGCAGCCCTGAGAATCGATGCCCGGCACCAGCCTTATCTAGAGCATCCTGCCCTTGTAAACCTCCTGAATGAAGCACTTTGGTTCACAGTGGCTCCTGTTGGATGTCAGGTTACAGAGAAGACTGATAACTGGGAATGCTATGCTGGGCAGACTTGCCTTGCTGGTGCCCACAGGTGTGCCCCATCCCTGACATTCACCTGCTTTCCTGTTGCTGTTTCCCTTCAAGGCTATGCCGGTGCCAGGAAGGCCTACGTTATAGCCAGAGGGGTCCAGCCTTTGGTCATCTGCGATGGAACCACCCTCTCAGAACTATAGGAAACAAGAACTATACAGAGGAACAACTTTGAGAGCTGAAGACCAGCTTGAAAGGGGAGAAATAAAAACAAAAAACGATGAAACCACTTGCCAAGGTTACTTAGTTACCTGCCCTATGCATGCATGAATGAGCCAGCTATATGCTGGAGGCACTGGCCAGATCTTGGCCCTCCCGACTCTTTCAGCCTAGCTGCCTGGCCAGGACTTTGCCAGTACCTGTCTATGAGAGACTGGGCTCTTCTAACTTCTATACCTTTTGGAGCCACAGCCTTGAGGCTGCCCTTCCGGCAGGAAACGAGATTGGTGCCTTCCCTCACTTGCATGGCATGATCCCCTCTGCTGGCTCCCTAGCCACAGAGAGGGCAGACAGCAGGTCCCAACTTCAGAGCCATCCCTTACCAGGTGGGCCTGCTTGTCTCTCTACTGGTCACACCATCCTATACTTTGGAAAACCATGGCTGATTAAAGAAGTCTCTGCAGTTTCCCAAGCAGAGTAGAATCTAGAAGCAGTGAAACAAGATTAAATAATCTCATTGCACTCAAGAAATGCACTGCTTTCCCAGTGTCCCTGACTCTTGGGAGTCTCAGTGATGCCAGATTGGAGTCTGATTATAATTGAACCGCGAATTCCTAGGGTAGCACTTTCTTCCATTTGATCAGGTTCTTATGCACCATACCCGATCCCCACCTTTAGCTCCCTTCCCTTCTCACTTGCCACTCTGGCTGGTTTCTCAGAAGTTGGACCCCCTCCCTGGCTGGTCCAGAGCCGTTACTGCTGAGGCAGCACTGCTTCTGTCAACTGGGTTGCTTTTACCAAGTGTCTTCAGAGGAGACGAGTTAGAGTGCTGGCCTGGGGAGTGTGTGCCTCCCCGGGTTTGATCTTTAAGGTCCAACTTTCAGCAGGGAAGATGTTTTACAGATGTGTCAGGCTGATGTTGTAATGTGGTTGGGGAAGGAGCTCCAGGCCCAGCATATTTGCCAACTGGGTGTGCGACTGTGGGATCCTCTGTCTTAAAATTATTTCTCTCTTTGTACCAGGAAACAAGGTGAGGTATTTTTATCATTTGTAATGACATAAAGCTATGTTCTTTCAGTTGGGTGACTGATTCACTATGCTTATTGTTTTCCCCAAGTGCTTTTAATATGTATCAATCAAATGGTATAAATAGGGCATACTTTTCTTCCTCTTTTTTCCCCCTTTATTCGTTTATTGATGCTGCTAGATACTTGGCCTTTAGTCATGCCATCACCAAGCTGAAGACAACCCACCATTGCACCTGGTTCTGAACTACAGAAATCAGATGAGTACAGGTACCCATGGCAGATTTAATGGACCAGATGCGGACAGTGGTGAGAGAGGGACCTATGAGTCCTTGCAGGGTGCTTTTCATCCATGAAGGCACCCTTGTACCTTATCCCTGGGCCCTCTCTTAGCACATCTCCTAAGCAGCACTGGGGATCATCAAGGCACTGGAGGGCTTGTTTGTATACTTGTACGGGACAAGAATGGTTCACAGAACTTAAGGTGGAAATATTCAGCCTCTGCAGACGTGAATAAAACTAGGATAAATGGTACCGGAGGGAATTTTTCCTTAAACCAGTCTGTGCCTTGTGTGGGTTAATACAGGAAAAACAAAAATTTTTGTACATATAAAAGTCATGCTGCTAAGCAGTTATGATTTAAGAGGTTCTAAATCAGAGGGATCATTTCGAGGCCAGCTTTGCGCAAGCTTTTAGAGCCTTTGCAGTGTCCTTACCCCTGCTGCGCATGGAGAAGGATTATATGTAAACAAGTTCTTTAGAGTTTTCTTTTCTTTTTTTTTTTTTAAATTTTTATTTATTTATGATAGTCACACAGAATGAGAGAGAGAGGCAGAGACATAGGCAGAGGGAGAAGCAGGCTCCATGCACCGGGAACCTGACGTGGGATTCGATCCCGGGTCTCCAGGATCGCGCCCTGGGCCAAAGGCAGGCGCCAAACCGCTGCGCCACCCAGGGATCCCAGTTCCTAGAGTTTTCTTAAATTAGGTCCTTTGAGTTAACAAAAGAGAGGGTTTCTTAGAAGAAAAACTGGATGATTGAGATTTCTGTTTTGTCTTTGAGTTACCCTGGATTGCTTCCCCATTTCACTCCTGCCCTTCACATCTTAAACGTTCATAAAATATCCACTTCAGCTCAAAACTTTGATAACTAAGAAACCCTCGCATGTGTTGCCATCCTGAGGCATCCCCTGGAAAGTGCCCTAAGCCCCTGAGCTGTCTACAGTTCAACAGAAAATGGCGTGGCAGCAGATGAGGCGAGACTTACGTGCATTTCCTACTCTAAACTTAAAATATGTCCCATTCAGAATTGAGGGTAGATTTCTGTGAAGGAAGAAATTTTCCAAAGAGAGTTTCCCACTCTTAATTACTGGAGATGTAGAAGTAATTTGCCTTCTTCTCAAGGCAATTCTGATAAGCGGAATACAGGAATGGCTTCCCTCAGGAATGACCTCGATTGCCAGCCTGAGGCTTTGTGTGAGGGTGCTGCTCACCCAGCTCTCTGCTCCTCTGTGGAAGCAGCAGAAGTCCCTCCATATGACCCAGGCAGCAAAAGAGGGTCATCAAGAGGGGGGGGGCATAGTGGGACTACCTAACCAACCCCTAAGCTGCAACACAAGAACAAAATGCTCACAAATGTGTTGAGTGTTTACTAAGAGGTGACATGGTTGTGACCTCCACACATGAATTAGGTCCACTTTCTTGTAGGTGCCCAGGGTAGTGACTTATATCCCCTGATCAGCTCTCTGGGGAGAAAGGCTGCTTTGGCACCAGTCGAAGCATTTATGTCCAGGTGTCCTGACATCTGCAGGGGTCAAGTATTGACAAGACATTACACCTATTCAGGCTTATAAAAAGAGGCAGAAAAAAAAAAAAAGAGGCAGAACTTATCCTCTCCTCACTCAATTTTTTTAGGGAAGGGAGGGAGTAAATAATATGGTTTATGAAAACAGAATCTAGGGGTGCCTGGCTGGCTCAGTCAGTGGAGCATGCCACTCTTCATCTCCAGTTGGAAGTTCGAGCCCCATGTTGGGTGAAGAGATTACTTAAAATCTTAAAAAATAAAACAAAAAAAACTACTTATTTGGTGAAAAACAAAATGGCCAGAATTGGCGTCATTTTCTGAAAGAATAGTAACGTTTGTCCAGTCCTTTCTAAGAGGGCCTTGATAGACGTAATCTCCTTTCATCTTTCCTCAGTACTGTCAAGTAGGTGTTAGATCCTCATTTTACATGAAACTCGGGTTTAGAGCAGTTAACTGTTGGTCAGTAGGTAGTTGGTTTTACCGCATATCATTTCCCTGCTTCAGCACAGTGTGGTGCCCCAGGATGGACGATGAGGCTGTGGGTTTCATTACCTGGGGCGTGCCCCCACTGGGACAGGAGGACCTCCGGAGAGGGTCAGCAAGCTAGGAACTCTTCAGGGTTTGTTTTCAAGATTGTTTTGGACAGAGATGGAAGAGGAGAGGATCTAACCAGATGACTTTTATAAAAATCCTTTCACTTTTTTCCCTCCCCATTTGAAAACTCTTTACGAGTGAGTGTAGCTGGAACATGACTATGTGTCCAGCCATTTTCCCATCACACATGTTTCCAGATGTGTGACCAGAAGAGGGACTCTGCCCAGTTCCAGTCGTGACTCCCCTTAGAGTTTACCTCACTTGTTTTTCAGCTCTCTGTCTTCTTGTCCCTTCTTCCCAAATCCAGTATAGACCTCTGTGTAGGAGCAATTTGTTTTTTGGTTTTTTTTAAACTCTCAGCGTCTTTAGCTGCAGGTGATAGCCTCACTCATTTTACTATCCTCACTCTGGGATGAGAATTTGCTCCTTAACCAGTGGCTTCCATAATGAACATCCAAAAACGCAAAGCAAATGTTCACCTTCTCACCTAATCCTTGCCTGCAGGAAGCGGCCACATTGTAGGGGGAAGAGCCAGAACTGCCTGCTGGTTGCATGGAGAGAGGCAATACGGGCCACCTTTTGAGAATCAGTTACTAATCAGAGGGGTCTTTTAGGCTTTTGAGCTCTCTCTAGTGATGGAAGAGAAACTCTCCTGAGTTCTTAAGTTCACACTCATTAACTTTGAGGGTGGCCCATCTACCCACTAAAATTGGTCAAAGGAATGCTATGTGAGATGTGCTTTAAATGGCATTTTTTCCTTTTTTAAATTTTAAATTTTAGTTGACATACAGTGCAAAATTGGTTTAGATGGCATTTTAGATTGAGATTCTCTGGAGCTGCGCCTGTTGTGCACAGTGCCGATGGTTGTTGGGGGAGGGAGGCTAGGAAGGTGCTGGTGCTTATAGGGATAGCCTTATAGCACATGAGAAATGGGAGGCTCTGGGAGTACACTAATATTGCCATCAGCATGCATCTCCCGGCCTTCTCACCCCCAGCCTCCCGATATCTAGTGGCTTCTTCCACAAATGTATCTCCAAGAAGATGGACAGGTGCTGTCGCTGCTGTGCATCATACCCAAGTTGGCCCACCCTTGGATGCAGTCTGGTTTTATATGCTGGCCTTGGCGAGACACCGTCCAGCCAGCTTGTCTGTTGTCCGGGTCCCTTAGAGTCTGGTTTCCCTTCCCTGCATAATTTAAGCATTAGAGCTAAATACATCTGTCATTTTCCTCTCTGGAGACTGGGAAATGCCCAGAGCTTTTCAGAATAGTGGAGAGAAGAAATGTTATGTAACTGCTCGTGGAGGCCCAGAACCGTTCAGACATGGCGGGGCTGGGGACCACCCAGAGACCATTCCTCCTGCACTTTGTGTGTCTGTCATTCGGCAGCTGTAAATCCAAGAGTGAGCCCCAGCTGCAGGCACCTGAGCAGAGAAGGGAAACCAGTCTAGAGTTTCAGACAGAAACTGGAGAGTCAGGTCATCAACTGTGTACCAAGCCTCATTTACGTCCTTTCCTCACAACAGCTCTGTGGGGTAGGGAGTAGGAGTGGTCATCTTGTGAAGCCACCTCTACTCAAAGATCAGCAGTGTCCCAACCTCCAAGCCCCAACCCCTCAGAGCACTTTTGGCCCTTTGAGGAACAG